GTTTTAGAGAATGATAAAAATAAAGAAATATGAAATTGTATAATGTGAATCAAAAGCTGTTTGAGAAGGAACTGAAGCTTTTATTTTGTTTTGTTTCTTGATTATTATTGCTTGAAATTAATTTTGAAACAAAAGGGACAGACATAAGATTTTTTTCTTTCTGCCTTCTTTCATTTTAAYTGTGATTTGTATTTATTTATTTGTATAAATGAAATAAAGTCTAACAAATCTAAAATATTATCGTCTGGTTTATATTCAGCTGGAGGAACTGAAAACCCAAAGAAAAGCTGCTCCCATCAGTTCACCAATATTTCTGCATGTTATTGAAAAGGCAGCTGATAGGATCAACCTGTTCGATCACTCTGACAGGTAATATTTTCTTAGATTAAATCAATTCAACATCACTTAATCTWGGAAACTTAATCAGGGGAACTATATTAATAAAAAAACTGATCATTAAATGAGCTTCAGCTCTGGTGAAACTCCAGTACTTTTTATTACAACATCAAGAATGAACGGATGAAARGATTTCAGCTCAGATCCCAGATCCTAACTGTGTCAAACTGTCATCCAGGCTTAAACCTGGAATGTTTGCGTCCTGATAAAACACTTCAGATGTGTCAGTGAACGCCTCACCACAGCTTCCAGTCTCATTTTAACTGGTTAAGTTCTGATGTTCGTTCCTCCTCTGCTGAACCGGACGGCCTCAGAAGGTGCAGCTGCTGTCGAGCTGACCTCCTGCTCCCCGTGGATCAAACTCTCAGCTCAGACTGGAACAGAGGCAAAAAGAAACTTCAGGAGAGAACGAGGAGGAGGAAGGCAGGAGAAAGGGATGCTGGGAGGGAGAAGGCGTAAGGAGTCGGAGCTCAGGAGCACACGGAGGAGTTAAAACGCATCACGGGGAGGAAAGAGCCYCGATGACGCACAGAATCTGAACAGAAAGGAAGAAAAGATGCAGATGAAAACAGGGGTGGGAGGCAGAAGTGGCACAAAAGGCTGAATGCCCAACATCCCAGAATCCTGCTGAGTCAGCATTATTTATCAGAGCTGCAGATTTARCCGGTGAGTCACCTCGCACGTCATTTAATGCTCATGTTATCACCTTTACACTGTTCAACCAAAGACTGGAACAGTGGCTGCGAGGTCACAGAAACCGTTCAAGAAAAACCTCCAAGCAGGAAAATACAGATGTGGATTTAAAGATGACACGTCCTGCAAAACTCACWGTTTTAGCCGTTAAATACATTTTGTTYTGTCCTWTGAGTCTCTAGGACAGYGTTATTCAACTAAATCACCCCGGGGACCACAGTTACTGCAGGTCAGGGGCAGAATATCCAGCAATTAAAGCCATTATATAAATAAACTAAGTATTACAGAGATCTGTTACCTTTGAAATAGTTTATTTTGCTGCATTTAATCATGAATACAACATKCAGGATCRGATAAAAGTAGTAGTAATTAAACAATATCAAAAACAAAATGAACACTTTATGCCTCCTGTTCAACACAAATATTTTTGATATCGCTGACTTGCCAAATTTTTTAACCTTTCATAGTTTTATATTAACTGCTTGTAATTTTAACTGTGTTGAGTGTTTATAGAAATGTTTTTACCAGCTTGCAGCCACGATTCTGACATTTCTGTAGATACCAAACATGTCTATGTCCAACTAAAATAACTTTTAGTAATTAAAGTAGAAAACCGGGGGTTTGGGCTTAAGAGATGAATGAGCCAATTGGCGGGCCGAACTTGGGTCACTCACAGGCCAGATGTAGCCTGCGGGCCACCAGTTGAATAGTTCAGTTTTCTCTATTTTCTAGATGTTTTCTGAACCATTACGTCACAGTTTTTTCAACAAAACTACAAAACAAGGTCTGGATTTACCAAGAATTTCATTCTCCTTTGGTTCTGGGTCAGACTCTGGTTCTGGGTCAGACTCTGGCTCCAACACGTAAGGCTGGATGGACAAGTCTTCCCTTGTTGACATCTTTTATTTAAAAATAAAAAAGTCTTTGTACAGCTGTGTAGTCGTAAACCCCTCTATCAAATTAGAATGGACCGGTCTGGAAGCTGGAGGGGGGCGGAGTCTAAAGCACCTTGTTTAGATTTAAAGAAACAGTCTCAAAACGAGTTAAGAGGGGCTTGCGGAGTTACAATAAGGTGCAGTTCCACTTTCTATAAACTCAAACTYAATGATTTCCATGTGAAAAAGAAGGATTTAAAAGCATGTACAGGTGCTGGTCATAAAATTAGAATATCATGAAAAAGTAGATTTATTTCAGTAATTCCATTTAAAAAGTGAAACTTGTATATTATATTCATACATTACATACAAACTCATATATTTCAAATGNAAGTTTCACTTTTTAAATGGAATTACTGAAATAAATCTACTTTTTCATGATATTCTAATTTTATGACCAGCACCTGTATGTTTATTAATTGCAATTATGGATTCATGTAAAGAGGTTTTGTTTCTCCACAGACCAGAAAGGAGTTTTTTTGTGTTTGGTCTCCTCTGAAAAGACGTTTCTGTTAGCAGAGTCTCTCAGTACAATAACCACTCCACAGTGCTTTATGCTGCTCTTCATTTGTAAGTTACTTTGGATAAAAAGTCTCAGCTAAATCGATGTAATGTGATAAACACACACGCACACACACACACACACACACACACAGCATCTGTTACTGCATCTCCAACCACTGATAGATAAACAGCCGACCCGCCCATGTGAAGAGGAAACTGTCTGCCAGAGCAAAGAAAAACAAACTTAACTGAAATAGATTTAGTTCGGGTTAACTTTCACTATTTTATAAATGATAAATAATCAAACACATATAGCGCCACGGCTATAGTTTAACTGGTTTAATGGAAAACATTTAAACTTAGAATTCACCTGAGAACCTGATGCTAAAAAAATAGCCCATTTTGCTTAAGAAGGAATTAAATAAAATAGCAAAATACAAGAAAAAGCGCAGCGCTGTTGTGGATTGTTCTCTGGTAGATGTGCATGATTAATAAGGGATTATATTTGGAGTTTTGACTCCTCTGACTTGGACACATGAGACAGAACAGACGTACGTCTCGTATCAGATGCCTCAGAAGAGGATCTAACCCATTTATACTGGCCCTGTTTAGCTGGGGATGCTGCTCCAGCCTGCAGGGGGATGAAAACAATATTTGTGAACAAACAAGATGCGTCTGTGTGTTAAGAGGTGGGGGGTGTTTTCCCACCGGGTCCATGTATTAGCTGGCTAGGCACAAACAGGTTGGTGCTTCTTTAGTGCTGACCACGCTAATGATCGTTGTCTTGCTTT